TTTTGAGATGAGATTTTCCTGAAAGATCTGGATAGGCTCTAAATGCCATCACAAGTATCTACATAAGAAACAGGTAGGAGGAGATTCCACACATACACACATAGGCGAATGTCCCGTGAAGACAGGGGCAGAGATTGGAGTGATGCGGTCATAAACCACAGAACACTGAGGACTGCCGGCAGCCACCAGAGGCTGGAAGAGGCAAGTTACAGATTCCCTGCCAGAGCCTCCAGAGTGAGCTCAACCCTGATGACACCTTGACTTTGGAATTCTGGCCTCCAAAAGTTTGAGGGGCTAAATTTTATTTTTTGCTACCATTTTGTGGTAATTTCTTACAGAAGCCACAGGAAATTGATACAGGCACCACCTCATTTTATTGCTCTTTACTTTTTGTGCATGGCACTTTTTTTTTTTTTTTTTTTTTTACAAATTTCGTGGCAACCATGCCTTGAGCAAGTCTATCAGCGCCATTTTTCCAACAGCATTTGCCCACTTTGTGTCTGTCACATTGTTAGTTCTCGCAGTATTTCAAACTTCTCCATTATTATTTTGTTTTGGTCATCTGTGATCTTTGATTTATAACTATTATAATTGTTTCGGGGCATCACAAACCATGCCCACATAAGACAATAAACTTAGCTGATAAATGTTGTTTATGTTCTGACTGCTCCACCAACAGGCCATTCCCTGTTTCTCTCCCTCTCCTTGGGCCTCCCTATTCCCGGAGACACAACAATATTAAAATTAGGCCAATTAGTAACCCAGCACAGCATCTAAGTGTTCAAGCGAAAGGAAGAGTCACACATCTCTCACCTTAATTCAAAAGCTAGAAATGATGAAGCTTAGTGAGGAAGGCACATCAGAAGTTGAAATAGGCTGACAGCTAGGCCTCTTGTGCCCAACAGTAGGCAAGTTGTGAAAGCAAAGATCTTTAAGGAAATTAAATGTGCTACTCTATTGAACACATGAGCTATAAGAAAGTAAAACAGCCTTATTGCTGATATGGAGAAAGTTTTAGTGGTCTGGACAGAAGAACAAACCAGCCACAACATTCCCGTAAGCCAAAGAATAATCCAGCGCAAGACCCTAACTCTCTTCAATTCTATGAAGGCTGAGAGAGGTGAGGAAGCTGAAGAAGAAACATTTGAAGCCAGCAGAGGTTGGTTTATTAGGTTTAAGGAAAGAAGCCATCTCCAGAACAGGAAAGTGCAAGGAAGCAGCAAGCGCTGATGTAGAACCTGCAGCAAATGAACTGGAAGGTCTAGCTAAGACCATTAATGAAGGTGGCTACACTAAACACCAGGTTTTCAGTGTAGACAAAGCAGCCTTATAATGGAAGAAGATGCCAACTAGGACTTTCATAGCTAGAGAAGAGAAGTCAGTGCCTGGCTTCAAAGCTTCAAGGACAGGCTGACTCTCCTGTTAGGGGCTAATGCAACTGGTGACTTGAAGTTGAAGTCAGTGCTCACTTAGTATTCTCAGAATCCTAGGGCCTTTAAGAATTAAGCTAAATCTACTCTGCCTGTGCTCTACAAATGGAACAACAAAACCTGAATAATCACAATCTGTTTACAAAATGATTCACTGGTTATTTTAAGCCCACTGTCGACTGCTTAGAAAAAAAGATTCCATTCAAAGTATTTCTGCTCATTGACAAGTCCCTGGTCATCTAAGAGCTCTGATGGAGATGTACAATGTGATTAATGTTGTTTTCATGCCTGCTAACACAACATCCATTCTGTAGCCCATGCATCAAGGAGTAATTTCAACTCTCAAGTCTTATTTCTAAAATACATTTCTTAAGGCTATAGCTGCCATGGATAGTGATTCCTCTGGTGGATCTGGGCAAAGTCAACTGAAAAACTCCTGCAAAGGACTCACCATTCTAGATGCCATTAAGAACAATTGCGATTCATGGGAAGAGGTCTAAATATCAACATTGAAAGGCGTTTGGAAGAAGTTAATTCCAACCCTCATGGATGACTTTGAGGGGTTCAAGACTTCACTGCAGTAAGTAACTACAGATGTGGTGGAAGTAGCAAGAGAATTAGAAGTAGAGCCTGAAGATGTGACTGAATTGCTGCCATCTCACAATAAAACTGTGATGGATCTGTTGCTTCTTAAGATGAACAAAGAAAGTGGTTTCTTGAGGTGGAATCTACTCCTAGAGAAGATGCTGTGAAGACATGGCAATGACAACAAAAGATTTAGAATATTACAGAAACTTAGTTGATAAAGCAGAGGCAGGGTTTGAGAGGACTGATTCCAATTTTGTAAAGTTCTACTGTGGGTAAAATGCTATCAAACAGCATTGCATGCTACAGAGAAATCATTTGTGAAAGGAAGAGTTTATCGAGGCAGGAAACTTCATTGTTGCCTTATTGTAAGAAATTGTCACAGTCACCCAACCTTCAGCCACCATCAATCAGCAGCCGTCAGCATGGAGGCAAGACCTTCTGCCAGCAAAAAGTTTATGACTCATTGAAGGCTTAGATGATGGCTAGCATTGTTTAGTAACAAAGTATTCTAATTAAGGTATGTACATTTTTTTTAGACATAATGCTACTTCACATGTAATAGACTATAGTGTGAGCATAACTTTTATGTGTACTGGCAAACCAAAAAATTCACGTGACCTGCTTCATTGCAGATGTCTGGAACCGAACCTGCAATGCCTCTGAGGAGGTATGCCTTTATAGTCCTGCAGAAGTAAAACTGGGGCCATCTGTGCACATTCAAAGAAACTGGGGGTGAGATGTGACTTCATTACAATATATAAAGTCCCTGGAAATTTGTATTTGGTCCCATGCAGTTCTGCCAAATAAAGGAGAAACGGTTGCATTAAAAAAAAGTAGCACTTAGGAATTTAGTCCCTTTTCCAGAGCTAGTTGAGAATCTCCAGTATTTATTCACCATGCTTCTTTAAATCTCAGCAACACACAACACACCTTCAAACCCCAGTCGCTTTCCTGTCTTAATTTTATCATAACCTGACTGCCCCACAAGCATGACTTGCGAATCTTTGGCTTTGCAGAGCACCTATTACAAACTGAGGAAAGTACATGAAGACAGAAAGGAATTCCTGTGTTAACTCTGCCACTGAACAATTCCATGAACTTAGGTAAGACTCCTAGTTTCTGGGTTAAGAAGGGAAGGGAAGGAGATTATTTCACTTAGGTGACACATGTAATGAGATTATAAAAAAAATTATGGTAATACCTGGCATCAGAATCCTTCTTTGTGAGGAAACTACCTTTGCTTGAGATAAAAAGTGAGACCCTAAAAGTATCAGACAGTTAATGTGCTCAACACAAGACCATGAGAAAAGTTTGGGTTTATTTTTGATCTGGTGAGTGAGAAGTAAGGAAAAGAAAGAGAGAAGAGTTGGAAAGGGGAGTAGGGGCTGGAGATGTGAGTGGTTGAAGGGAAAGCATCTTCTGGCCAATGACATGAGTCCCTTCCTTCCCGAGAGCAACGACATCCAGCCTCAAACTGCCCTAGTCCAGGTCATCTGCTCATGAAAACACAGCACCCCCAGGCTTACTCTTCTGACCCTCTCCCATGATACTAAAAATATGAAATTAGGATCATTTCAAGGTTCACCTATGCAGCGGCCATTGGGATTTAGGGGCCAAACTTAAAAGGTAAGATAAAGCCAGGGCAGCTGGGCTCTGAGGCCATACTCCTCCTTTCACACTAGTGATGCCTGAAGTTCCTTCAGAAGGAGGAGCACATATTTTATATTAAACAATTCAAGTAGTGAAGGCTAGCAATGCAAGTGAATTTCAAACCATAATCCTCCAATAAATAAGTGCTGTTGTTTGATATGGAAGGAGACGCAAGGGGACATAACACACTCGGAAGAGAGGAAGGGGCTCGGCAGAGGAAGGTATTGCATGTCAAGAGAGGAGTTTCTGGGTGTGGAAGGCAGACCCCAGTGGCTTCACAGTGTTCCTCAACATGCCCCTACCAACAATTAGGCAAGGCGGAAAGCAGCCGCCAGACGCGAATTCGGAAAATACTTGCAGAATCTGACCACTTCTTACCACCTCTGCTACCACTGGCCCCCTGGAAGCCACCATCTCCTCTAGCCTGGACTCAGCTGTAGTCTCACACAGGCCTGAGGGCTTCTAGGCTTCCAGCCCTAGAACCCGTCCTCAACACTGCCACCAGAGGGATGTCCACCTCTGTCACGTAATGTTACTCCTCTATTCAGATTCTTCCCAAGGCGGCTCATCTCACTGCAAGCAAAGGTCAAGTCCTTACAGTGGCTTCTGAGGCCCTACCCACCCCACCCCCATTCTGACTCCATCTTCTCCTGCTTCTCCCCTCCATTCTCTCAGTAGCAGCTACAATGGCCTCCTTACTGTTTTTCAAACCTGCTGCCTTGGCCCTAGCCCCAGCTATCTTCTCCTCCCAGAACACTCTCCACCCCACCATGCCCCCTGGAGAGGTCCACTCTTTTACCTCCTTCAAGTTCCATGATAGACTCTCATCTAGCCCCCGAGGCTGCCCCTCAGCACCTAAATTAATGCTCTGCTGCCCTCTAACCCATCCCCCGCACTTCCAGTTCCCATCACCTACTCTTCATTTCACGCGAGTGTCACTGCCCAGACTGTTCCATGATTTATTACCTTCGTTGACTGTCTCTCTCCACCCCAACCCCTGGGAATATGAAGCTCTATGAGGTCAGGGATCTTTGTTTTATTCACTGATGCATACAATGCCTGGTATTTCGTAGGTGCTCAAAAAGTATCTAATATTGAAGAGTGAATGAAGGTAAATCGGGAAACTTTTCCATAGTCAGCAAATTTAACACAGAAGATAAGGCAATGTTTGAAGGCATCACCATGCATCCTTATGCTCTGAAACTAGCTTCAAGTAGAATTACTACTACTCATTCATGTATTTAATAAATATTTGATGAGGGCCTGCTTTATGCCAGGTGCTGTTCTCAGTTCTGAGGATACAACAGTTGGCAAAAAACAGCCTCAGGGAGGTTCAATTCTAGTGGGTAAGGCAGACAATTAAGATAAACAGGCAAAATACTTAGACTGTTAGATGGTGGTAAGTGCTAAGGAGATCAAGCAGGCGAGGAGGCTAAAATGATTCATATACTTTCTGAGAACCAAAGGAGATAGGAGACAATAATAGAAGTGTTTAGAGAAGTATTAGGCAATGTTGAAAATCCTACACCATTTAAAAAGTTGCATTTTTCCTATGGTCTGGTTTTACTCGAAGCAAGTTTTAGATGTGTCACACACGTACCTCTCACAAAGTCACCGTCTAAGTGGATCGGCTTCATGTTCACTGGGGACTCTCACTTCCACCCCACAGAGAGTGCCGTCCTTCCTACGGGCAGATGGTATGTACTCACCACGCAGGTTCAGTAAGCAGGACTGTGCGGCATTCGGCATTCAAGGATCCCCACCGTCTCCAGTAATCCCTCGATGGTGGCGAATACGAGAGGCACAGCCTAGTGGCCCCATGAGCCACCTTCCACCACTCCAGCCACTCCTGTGGCATCTCACGCTCACAGAGTGAAGTTCCACATCCATTTACCCCTGCAAGGGCATCATTTTGTTCCAGGACTCGTGCCTACTGATTGCAGTTTCCTTAGCCTCCCTTGAAAGAAATGATAAATGCTATAAGCAGAAAATCAATTGTGGGACCTCTGGCCTTATCATGTATCCCTTCCAGCCCACTCAATCCTCTTCCCAAGCTACTTGCTGACTAAGTCCTCATCCCCTCACTTTCAGAATTCACCAAGATTCCTGTTCAAAGACTCTCTTGGGTCAATGAAAGTGAACAGAAGTGACATGTATTAGTTCCCGGAGGAAATGTCTAAGAGCTGTGTTCACCTGTTCTCTTCCCCTACCGCAGTAAACGCTGGACATCGTGTCTTATGATGGAGGCATTGTAAGATTATGAAGCCTCCCCTCAGTATAAGCCTCTAAGTAACTACAATAGCTTATCTGTGGACAGGAATCTATGAGCAAAAATGACCTTGTGTTTTAAGCCACCAAGATTTTAGGGTTGTTTGTTACCCAAGTGTGACAGTTTATCCTGAAAAAAGCCACCAGCAATCCTTTTGTGAGCACCTGGAAGTCTTTCCTTCCCGCTTAGGAAGGCTAGCACTAAGGAATTTGGTGTGTCTAAGGAGAGATTCTGACATTTTTAAAAGGTGAGGGAATTTATACTGATATATGAAAGAGTCGAAGTGCCTTGTATCTATTCTGGGGCTCTGATTACTAGAGAAGGTTACTTTGAGGGGCAATATAGAAATATGCCTCTGAAATCTCCTCTGATACATCCCAAGAGAATTTATTTCAAGTTTCTCTAGAAAGTGGGAGGCTAAGCTCAAAGTTTAATTTTAAAAATCCAGAAACCCTCTGAGTAATGGAGAAAATGAAAACAGAAGAATTTTTACTGGAGCACTCTTTGTTGCTTCAGCAGTTCTTAAAATGACCATGGAAGCAAGAACAATGACTGGGGGAACAGGAGGTCCCAAAGCAACAGGAAGAGTGATGGTGCCCACATGCGTGGCAGCGACATCTTATGAAGTGAGCTGCAGAAAGGCTGTCAGCTGTTAACACCTTCTATGGCTGGAGCAGAGATTAACCCCAGAGCCTATAGCAGACTTATAGTTGCTCCAACAAGAGCCAATGAGCTATGTCAGGATCCTGCTTAAGGGGAAGGAGGTGGGAGGGCCTTGCCAGAAATTTCACCATCAAGGTTCAGACTCAAAATAGGCTTTTATTGTCACAGTGACTGCTACCTAGATTCTTGACAGTCTTCCCCTAGACTGGACTGGGAAATTAAGAATTCATGTAAAAGAGGATAAATGTTTATAGAATCATCTGGAAGGATCTGGAATCTGTTGCAATAATCAGGCACAAAAGTTTAAATGAAACAAGGCATTCCCCACATCTTAATGAACCTAGGGATACACTGGGTCTTTAACTCATAGCCTTTAATAACCACTACTTGGAAGCCAAACTCAACTCCCCCCAAATAGGAGATGTCAACAGCAGTAAAATGGCATAAAACTGGAAGCCATGGGATGCCACACCAAAACACACATTATAGTTTCAAGGACATCTTTATTTTCACAGTATTTTCTTTGAAGTTTATATAATAGTACATGGAAATTATCATCCAAATACCAAGCATACACTACAGACAGCTCTAGACTTCTCAACCCCCTCAGCCTGTAAGTTGCTTCGGGGTAGAAATGGGTGCAATGTCGAGAACAGTCATTCCAGGAATTGTCTGTGAGCTATGGCTCCCATCACAGCTCACAGGCAGCAGCCTGAATCTGCTTCAATTTAATCAGAAAAGATAGATGGAAGGGAGCCCACTTAGTTCATGGCTGCCAGCCCTCGCATCTCCCTCCCACAGACACGCACACAGGAAACCTGGCAGCTCCCTTCTCCCTTCGTGTCTCTCTCACTAGGCTAAGGAGGAGACAGATGCAGGAGGGAGGGGGAAGCAAAGGCTGCCAGAGCACTTGCCACATTCAAACTTGCCAGTACAGCCCACCCCCAGTGCCCAGTGTTCCTCCGGAGCTCTGGCTGGGCTCAAGACTGAGAAATGGGTCTGAGCACCCGAGCAAGGTGTCCCAAAGGACAGGCAGGCCCCAACAACAAGGGCTTTCTTTGAAGCAACAAATATAGGAGATGATTTTACCCTAATTAAATCCTCTTATCTCTGAAAGAGAGAATTGGGAGTTAGGCAACATTTTGCACTCAACACAGAAAATCTGCCCAAAAGAGTTCAGAGATAATCAATGAAGAGTTAGGCGAAGAGCGAGTGAGAGAAGCAAATGGGGAAAATAAATTTTAAACACTGATGAACTTTTCCAGTGTCCCCACTGGGAAGGATCCCATTGGGCGGCTGTGACACATGCCCAGGCAGGCAATTTTAATTGGCAAGACAACAGACAAACCTGGGATCATGGTCTACTCCCCTTACTAATAAATGTCCCAAATGCTCCCAGCACAAACTGTCAAAACAAATCTAGCTGTACTGGGACTTCTGTTGATAGGTGTTAACACCACTCAACCACACAAATTATGAGGCTCAACCTCCCCTCTCCCAACAATCAAAAACGGCCGGAAAAATCGAGAGCAGAGCCCTCAACCTCAAGCACACACTCTAAACAGAGTGAAGAATACAGCCCCTCAAGTGAAGTGACATGAGGCAAGCTAGATGAGCAGTTCAAAGTTCTCACCTAGAGCTAGAGAACTGCCTTCTTTATTTATTTGTATGTTTCTTACATGGATGGACTATGCTTGATGTAATGGCTAATAAGCTGTATGTGCTTTGTGCACTTACAGTTTACAAAATGGCAGAAGAGACAATAGTTATACGACAAGGCGATATGTCCTCTGATAATCGGTTCCTAGGTAAGCCTAAAACCATAAAGCCATAGCGGAATTATTCAATCGAGACAAGAGTAGAAACAACCCAAACATCAATAGACAAATCAATAAACAAAGGATTCTATCCTTTGTTGATCCATTCTATCCTTTGTGGTCTATCCATGCAAAGGAATATTAGGCAGCCATAAAAAGGAGTGGAGCACTGATACATACTACAACATGGATGAACACTGAAAACATTATGCTAAAGAAGCCACATATTGTATTATTCAATTTATATATGATGTCCATAATAGGAAAATCCAGGGAGACCTAAAGAAAATTAGTGGCTACCAGGGGCTGGAGGATGGGCGGGACTGCTAATGGGTATAAGGTTTCTCTTTGGGATAAAAATGTTCTCAAATTAGATGATGAAGTGCTGCACAACCTTGAAAATATACTGAAAACCACTGACCTGTATATTTTAAAACGGTGAATTTTATGGTATGTAAATTCTATCTCCATTTAAAGAAATAGTTAAAGGAGAAAAATCTTAAAGCCTGTAGCCTTCTGTGAAGAAAGACCAGCCTGATCTGTACAGAATCAATGTTCCTTGTGAGGGTGTGTGTGAAGAGTAGGAGGAAAAGCTTTGGCTTCAAGATAAGGACCGTTATTTTGCTTCTCATGGCCACAGCTACCTAACCTGAAAATCAGGGATCCTAGAATGGTGTTCTCAAGTTTAGAAACAACATGTACAAATCATCTGTGGTAAAATTGATTTTCAACCAACAGCTGACTGAGAATATTACAAAATTTACGTAGAGAGATTCACAACTAAGATGAGATTTCTCTGCTCCTCGAGGCTACCAAAATAGTGTCCAGTGATGTGGTATCCAGTGGCATGATTACTATCAAACCAAAATAAAAAAGCAGAACTGTGGTAGCAGGAATAAGTGCACAGATCCTATTAAAGAAGGACTACTACCTCCTCACCATCACATGACAGCAATAAATTTTTTTTTCCTAATTTATGAGTATCTGTGTGTCTTGGAAACTCCCTAACATTATACCATTGAGATTATCCTCCTATATTTTGGAGATTCTATGCTTTGGCAAATTAATTAACTGAAAAGCAAAACTACAAGAACACTCTAAAGATGCTTCATATTGGAAAGACACTGATCAACTTCAATCAAGACCCCAGGTGTATTTCAACTGATTAATAGATAATAGATTTTGCTTAAAAATATAGAACATGTAATTAGGAAAAAGATGTGTATACTTTACCAGTTATAGTTTCCTAATTTTTATGTTATACATAAAAACCCAAGCTGAGATGGTAACTTTGAGACCTCTTTGTAGCAAATATACTCATCACAGGACAGAGTACAATTCTAGGTGCACAGTGGGAGCATGGTAAATACTTATCACCATGAAAATGCATTACATAACAGACTAGCTTCTGGCCAAGAAACTGAAATGCATGTTACATGGATTGTTCTTTCCTACTAAGGAAGAGTCATCCAAAGCCCTCTATCTTCTGACTCTTGCCTCTCTCTTTGACATCATCTCTTCCACTTCACTACAAACTAGTCTACAACCACACTAAACACTCTTCCCACCACACAATCTGTAATCAAAGTAATATTTGGAGTGCTTTAAATATGCCAAGTCGTTTCCTGCTTCTATGCCTCTAATGATGCTTTTTCCTCGCCTGCATCTCCCCGCACCCCCATTTCTCTACCAGGTTAAATCTTACATGTCACCTAAGATTCAGCTCCAGTGTAATCTACTCCAGGAAGCCTCCTGATCTCACCAGCCCTGCCCCTCAGTGAGGCTGAGGGGCCCCTCATACACCCTTATCTAGTAACCCATCAGACTGTGTTACAGTTGTCAGCTTACTTATATGTCTCCCATCTTAGACTGTGGAGCCATGGCATTCATACTCTTAATACAGTATCAGGCATTGAATAAATGTTAACTGAGCTCATGAATAAATGAATGGATGAAAAAATAAATCCATAGTTTAGTCCTAATTGTATTCAGCACTTCATTGCAACAATTTTTATTACCAACTTCTGAAATTTCCTCAATTTTAAAAGTCAAATAATTACATTTGATGAGAAACACCATTAGCTTCTTTTAAATAAAACTCAGCACTATTATATGTAATTTATAACAAAGTTAATCCAACTTATACATAATAATATGAATAATTGTGATGGTGTCATAAGTTCACTGGGCATGAAGTCAGACAGTTAG